CGACAGAACCCAGCTGAAGGAGGGGGGGAAGCAGGCAGGTAGAGGCCAAAGAGGAGGAGGAGGAGGAGGAGCAATGCCCAGGTCAGGAGGAGAAGGGTGATGGGGGAGGGGTCTGCCTGTGGTTTTTGCCAATCTGAAAGTCTTCTTTTGGCGTCCTCAAGACTGGGTGCCTTCCAAGGGCAGCAGGGGGCTCTTTGCTCGAGCCCCCTGCCCCACGAGCTCCGACCACTACAGGCTCTTCCTGCTGCTGTGGGGAGGGCGAGCCCAAGAGACCCGGGCTGGCATCCTTGTTCTCAGCCAGCAGTGAGCACTAACCTCCCACCCCATGCAGGCCTGACCCAAGGAAGATGCGTCTCGTTCAGCGGCCGCTCCTTGGCTTCCTGTGCGGCCCCTGGCTGTGGGTGAGTCTGGCCCAGCCACCCAGCCGTGCCCCCACCAGGCAGAGCCCGCCATCGCCCAACCTGCGCTTCCGACTGGCCGGCTATCCCCGTAAGCACAACGAGGGGCGCGTTGAGGTTTTCTACAACCAGGAATGGGGCACCATCTGTGATGACGACTTCACGCTGGCCAACGCCCACATCCTCTGCCGGCACCTGGGGTTTGTGGCTGCCACAGGCTGGACTCACAGTGCAAAGTATGGCAAAGGAGTTGGTGAGCATCACTGGGACAGGGATGGGCCCCCCAAGGGCAGATCTGCCCGATCCTGCCCCACCCTGGGGCTGGAGAAGGTGGGTCATCGTGGAAAAGGAACGCGCCACTTCCCCCAAACTCCAGGGCTCCGAAGCTGAGAGCCCTACCTGAGGTAGCAAGCGTGACTTTAAGCACCTGCAAAGTGCCTGAGCCAGCAACAGCATTCCCAAAGGTCTGGCGCATGGCTCTTGGTGCTTCGGAGACCCAGAGGGCCTCCAGGCCGGTCCCAATCCTGAGGTTTCTGGCGGTCACTCCACAGGGCGCATTTGGCTGGACAATGTGAGCTGCGGTGGCCACGAGAAGAGCATTGCTGAGTGCCAGTCGCGGGGCTGGGGCAACAGCGACTGCTCCCACGAGGAGGACGCGGGTGTTGTCTGCAAGGACGAGCGCATCGCCGGCTTCACTGACTCCAATGTGATTGAGGTGAGCTGGCCCAGAAGACGCAGCTGGGGAGGGACGCCGCAGGCCAGAGCGAGCGGTGCAAGGACAGCATAAGGAGCATTAGGCCAGTCCGGGGCGGCACTCAGCCAGTGCGATGCCTCTGCCTCTGTCACTGTGTCCCAAACAGTTTCAGGGAGGCCCACGAGGCGGCCTTCAGGGGCCTGTGGGAAGAAGTCATGGCCAGGAGGCTTAGAAGTCAGTCCTGTCCCCCATCACCTGTTCCAAAGGCTCCTGGAGTGCTGGATGGCCATGGTGGTCTCTAAAGGCTCAGGGCACAAGAGGACCCTTATTAAACTGAGCCTGGGAGGTTAGGTGCAGCTCCCAAGTCATTTGGAAGATCCTCTTCCTAGCAGGACTTCCTTCTTTGGGCTGCTGTCTCCAGGGGTCTGAGATGGGGCTTCTCCGTGCCCCGACAGAGGCCACGAAGTGGCCGGAATCACAAGGAGGCACCATCCCTTGCCCTTCCCTGGTTAGCACAGGTGAGGCTACTCAACAACATGCAAATCAGTGTGAAGTTTCTTGTGTTGAGTAAG